ATATAATATGCATGTAAGGTTCTTGTGTATCTTTTCACGGTTTGATAACTAATTTCTTTCCTCAATGAATAATATTGTATGGATGTATTGTCTTTTTTATTGCTGAGTTACAGGAATTGTGGCTTGCCTAATCATTTTCTTTATGATGTCGTCTCATTCACAGAATTTTGAGGAGATTCAATTCTTCTCTTACTACTTTCTTTGACCCAAGAAACCTTTGCCTACCCAGCATCATGAAGATATTTTCAGTGTTTTTCACCAAATGTTTTATTGTTTTAGCTCTTATACTTAAAGATGCATCTCCTTTTTTTTTTTTTTTTTGAGACGGAGTTTTACTCTTGTTACCCAGGCTGGAGTGCAATGGCGCGATCTCGGCTCACCGCAACCTCTGCCTCCCGGGTTCAGGCAATTCTCCTGCCTCAGCCTCCTGAGTAGCTGGGATTACAGGCATGCGCCACCATGCCCAGCTAATTTTTTGTATTTTTAGTAGAGATGGGATTTCACCATGTTGCCCAGGATGGTCTTGATCTCTTGACCTCCTGATCCACCCGCCTCGGCCTCCCAAAGTGCTGGGATTACAGGCCTGAGCCACCATGCCCAGCCAAAGATGCGTCTCAATATTTATGTATGGAGTGTGGCATGGGTCAGGTTTCTGATACTTGTTCCATATGGGTATTCCAGCACCATTTGTTAAAAAGACTGTTCCTTCCCCATTGGATTGCTTTAGGGCCTCTGTTGAAACTATGGTCATTGTAGAAGTGGGGCTCTGTTTCTGAGCCATCTTTGCTGTTACGCTGCTTTGTTCGTCTTCGTGCTGGTTCCTTATTGTCTTAATGAATGAAGCTTTCCAACTTTGTTCATCTCCAAGATGGCTTTCAATATTGTAGCTGCTTTGTTATTTCTCCATAAAATTTAGAATTAGCTGTACAGTATTAGCTCTTATACTTACATAAAATCCATCTCAATATTGTTGGTCTCTTCTAAGAAACCTGGGATTCTCAGATTAAAAAAATTTAAACATAAAATTTGCCATGTTAGCCATTTTTTCCCCCCTAGACAGAGTCTTGCTCTGTTGCCCAAGCTGGAGTGCAGTGGCACAGTCTTGGCTCACTGCAACCTCCGCCTCCCAGGTTCAAGCAATTCTCCTGCCTCAGCCTCCTAAGCAGCTGGGATTACAGGCACGTGTCACCACGCCTAGCTATTTTTTGTATTTTTAGTAGAGACAGGGTTTCACCATGTTGGTCAGGGTGGTCTCGAACTCCTAACCTCATGATCTGCCTGCTTCAGCCTCCCAAAGTGCTGGGATTATATGTAAGTGCATTCACAATGTTGTGTAACCATCACCACTAACTAGTCCTGAAACTTTTCCATCGTCTCAAACAGAAATTCTGAACCCATTAAACAATAACTTCCCATCCCCCCGCTACTTCCAGCCTCTGATAACCTCTATTCTGCCTCTTTGGATTTGTCTATTCTGGACATTTGAATATAAATGAAGTCATAAAATATGTGGTCTTTTGTATGTGGCTTATTTCACTTAGTATGTTTTCAAGGTTCATCCATGTTGTAGAATGTATCAGAATCTCTTTTTTTTTTTTTTGTGGGAGGGCACTATTTCATTGTGTGTATATTCCACATTGTGTTTGTTCATCTGTTGGTGGATATTTGGGTTGCATCCACCTTTTGGTTACTAAGGTGGTGAATAATGTTGCTAAGAACATAGGTGGCAAAATACTTGAGTTCCTGCTCTCAATTCTTTTGGGTGTCTATGTAGGGGTGGAGTTGCTGGACAATATGGTAATTCTGTATTTAACTTTTTGAGGAACTGCCAAACCATTTCATTTTGAGGAACTGCCAGGCTGTCTCGTTTTACATTCCACTAGTAGTGTATGAAGGTTCCAATTTTTCCACTTCTCCCAACATTTATTTTCTGATAAAAAATTTTAAAAATGTTATAGTCGTCCTAGGAGGTGTGAAGTGGTTCCTCATCATGGGTTTGATTTTCATTTCCCTAATGACTTGTGTTGAGTTTCTCTTTATGTGCTTATTGGCCATCTGTATATCTTCTTTGGAAAAATGTTTATTCCAGTCCTTTACCTACTTAAAACAGTGGGTTAGGTTGTGGTGTGGCTGTCTGCTTGGATGTTATTCAATCAAATCTGTAAATCAATAGGCAGAAATAAAATGTTAGTATTGAGTCCTCTAATCCATGAATATGGTATAGTTCTCCATTTATTCAAATTGTTAATTTCTATCAGCAAGGTTTTGAGACTTGTAGGATAGAGATCTTACATATCTTTTCAAAAGTTATCTCACACTATTATGAAGTTGCTGTTTTGATAACATTTTATTTTCTGGCCAGGTGTGGTACCTCACACCTGTAATCCCAGCACTTTGGGAGGCCAAGGTGGATCTCTACAAAAGTAAAAAGAAAAAAAAAATTAGCTGGATGTGGTGGCATGTGCCTGTGGTCCCAGCTGCTTGGGAAACTGAGGTGGGAGGATCACTTGAGCCTGGGAGTTTAAGGCTGCAGTGAGCCATGACTGTGCCACTGCACACTAGCCAGGGTGACAGAGCAAGGTTCTCTCAAAAACATGTTAATATATAAAAGACAGTTGACTTTTGTATACTAACCTTGTATTCTGCAGTCTTGTGAACTTATTCCAGTAGTTGTCTAGATTTCTTAGAATTTTCCATGTAAAAAGTCATCTGAAAACAGTTGTACTGCTTTCCTACTGTTAGCTTTCTCTGTTTGTATGTCTTCGTTTCTTCTCATTTTTGCATTATTGCAATGATTGGGACTTCAAGAACAATACAGAATAGTAGTATGGATCAGCACCCTTGTGTGCTCTCAATATTTGTGGGAAAGCTCTAACATTTCACTGAGCAGCAAGTGTTTCATCCACGGCCTTTTGAGGATGTTCCGTTATTCCTGTCTGCTGAGTGCTATTATGAGAATTTCATCAAATGCTTTTTTTCTGTGTCTACTGAAATGATCATATGGGGTTTCTCCTCTATTCTGCTATTATTGTAAATTATAGATTGGTTTTCAAATATTTATCCTTGCATTCCAGTAATAAACCCTACTTGTTCATGTCATATTATCCTATTTGTGTATTGCTGGATTCAGGTTGCTGATAATTTTTTTTTTTTGCATTGATGTTTATGAGAGAGATTTATCTTGTTTTAATTTTTAAAAAAATTTTATTTTTTAAATTTTTATTGAGTCTCTATAGACACTGCCAAAAATTGCCAACGGCAACTATATTTCAAGTCGTCATGGCGGGTTATTGGGAAAAATTTTCAATTAGCAATAATTGCGCCTCGGATAAACCTCATTGGCTATGATACTGCCACTGCGCAAAGCTGCCTCTGATTTTATTTTTCGGCAATGACTTCATAAGGTTTTGGTATTAGAGTTACGCCAGCCCCTTAAAAGGGATTGGAAGTATTTCCTCTTCTTCTTTTTGATAGAGGTCATACAAGATTGGTATTATGTCCACCTTAAATGTTGGATACAGTTTCCCAGGGAAACCATCTAGGCCTAGAGTTTTCCTTGTGAGAAGATAATAAATTCTTAAGTGAATATCAAGTTATTTTTCTTACTGAATGAGCTTTGTCTATTTGTGTCTTCAAGGAAATTTTTCATTTTATCTGTGGTGTTAAATGTGTTGGCCTGTTTGTTGATATTCTTCCTGTCCCTTTAATATTTGTAGGCTCTTTAGTAATAACGCTCTTTTCATTTCTGATTGGTTGTCGTCTTCATGTCCATAGGATCTGTAGTGACAACCAAAGTTTTTTCACTGCCCATATGGGAAATATGTCCCATCTTCCCTTGATTAATTTAATGAGGTGTGTATCAGTTCTGCTGATCTTTTCAAAAACCAGCTTTTCAGTTTGTTAGTTCTCTCTATTGTTTTGTTCATTTATTCTTATTTTTATGATTTCTTTCCTCTGCTTTTTTTTTGAGACAGAGTCTCACTCTGTTGGCCAGTGGGACAGTCTCAGCTCACTGCAACTTCGGCCTCTTGGGTTCAAGCAGTTCTCTTGCCTCAGCCTCCTGAGTAGCTGGGAATAAAGGCGTGTTGTCACCACGCCCGGCTAATTTTTGTATTTTTAGTAGAGTCGGGGAGTTCACCAGTTTGGCCAGGCTGGTGTTGAACTCCTGACCTCATGATCCGCCTGCACTGGCCTCCCAAAGTGTTGGGATTACAGGCGTGAGCCAGTGCACCAGCCTCTTTCCTCTACTTTCTTTGGGTCTACTTGGCTCTTTTTATAGTCATCTAAGAAAAATTTAGGTCAATTTTAGGCTTTTCATCTTTTCTGGAAGCATTTAAAGGTTTAAGATGACTTTTAAGCATTACCTTGGCAGTATTCTATACATTTTGAGGTTTAATTTTATGCAGTTCAAAATATTTTTCCAGTTCGTTTTGTGATGTCGTCTTTGATCCAACAGCTATTTTAGAAGTGTTTAATTTCTAAATATTTGTGGTTTTCCAAAATATTTTGTTGAGTGGATTTAATTTCATTGTGGTAAGAGAAAGGTTTTCTGTATGCATTCAGTCCTTTTAGATGTAATGAGATTTATCACCTAGCATATGGTTTTCATAGTAAACATTCTGCTGAGGTAGAGTAAGCACTCTAAAAAGTATCAGGTCACAGTTTTTGATAATTTTGTTCATGTCATCTATGAATTTACTATTTTTTGTCAAATCATTTTAATTATTACGAGAAGGGTGATAAAATCTCTATGCTAATGGAATTGTTTTTTGTGGTAGGTTGTTGTTCTTTCTATCTACCTAGTTACGTCTGGAGTTTATAGTTTTACTTTTAGGAGAGTCCGTTCCGATGGGAGCTGTTACATAGCCATTCCATTATTTAACCTTTACTTGAATAAGTACTAGAAAAATGTTTCAACACAAAACACTTGAGCAGGGACTGGCATACTTTTTTCTGTAAAGGGTTAGTTAGTGTTTTAGGCTTTATGGGCCAGTGTGATTTCTGTTTCACCTTCTTCCCACCAACTCTGCTTGTGGGCCAGATGTGGCCTGTCGGCCACAGTTACCAACCTGCGATCCATCTCCTCAGGAAGCTGCCCACTGAATCAAGTAGCTGTTTTAAAGCATGGGCTGAATGATAGGGGTTTTTACGCTTATATGCAGGGTTCCATGTTTAGAACACTGTGGTTTACACTGACCTGCAGGAAATGTTGTTTTGGCCTGTAATTCCTAAGTATTTCTGAAATGTTCTTCCGTCCCCTTCTTCCCCCAAGCCTCATGCTGGGACAAGGTGGAAAAAACAGACCTTGCCCCCAGGGTGCTCATGGTCCAGGAAATGTGCTTCTCTCTGGCTGTTAAGTCTGGGAGAGACTCGTCTGTGATGGTGAGCTAAAGCCAGGAGAGACAGCACCACACACTGAATGTACCAGCAGGTGCCGACTGATGCTCACTGATGACTGGGAAAGGCTTTGTGAAATGAAGTCCATTATTTCCAAAGTAGGTGGAACGATTGTAAGTAGTCACTAAAACTTAGATTGGATAATTTAACAAAATGTTAGCAAACTTATTTTAGTTGATAATGTGTTTGGTAACTCAGAACTTATTGCATATTATGAGAATTAAGTCACTTTTTACTGACTGATAACTACATCAGGGAGGCTGACACATGAGTTAGGAATTTTTATTGTAGAGAAAGGTAAAGGGTAAATCCTGCTAACACAAGCATCATTACACAGGGACTCAGTGGCCTCCGGTACCAACGTAAGAGAAGCAAGGAATATGATGCCTAATGAGATGGGAGTTTATACCCCTTTCAGAGATCTGTGGTCCTATGACTCGTTTACATTTAATGTACATAATGTTTTATGGGATGATTAAAACCCACAATAGACTGCTAGGGAGCAGTAGACTGGCATTTGACTTCAGAAGATCAGTTCCTGATGGAGAGTGGTCCTCTGGCTCCACTCGGCACTGCTGGTCTCCAGGATTTACCTGTGACTTCCTCCAGAATTGTCATTGGTTATTTCCACTCTATTTTAGGTTCAAGACTACTGTTATTGATGTGTAGTCCCACTGCAGTGCATTTGAAGAAAGGTAAGTGCTGTCTACCTTCTTACAGATGGCACAAAGCGGCAAGAGAGTACTCCCTTCTCCTCTTGGACTCAGGGTCAGAGGAAAAGTGTCCTTTCCTTCCCACTGGTGGCTTGGCTCTTGTTAATGCGCCATCCTGCAGGTTTAAAGGTGTCTTCACTCATTTCTGTTGATACTTCCATACAGTTTGGAAACGCCTTAGACAACTGTGAGAGCCACAAGCTTCAAGCACTCCGGGGATCAGACGTGATTTGAAAAGGCAGGTTTCCTTTTCCTGGCCAGCTGCTGACCTGATACTCACCTATGGTGTTGGGGTAAGGCAGAAGCCACTCACTGGCTGTTTTGGGGAAAGTTACATAACCTCTGTTTCTCTCACCCAACACCTTGACTGCAGCCGTGTGGGGAGGAGACCCTGAGCCGGGTCGTCCAGCTAAGGCACACCGCAGCACGGCACACCATGCCACAGCACGCCACACATCACAGCACACCACGGCACGCCACACCATGGCACAGCACACCACATACACCAGGGCATGCCACACACCATGGCACACCACGCCACGGCATGCCACACCATGGCACAGCACACCACACCACAGCACACCAGATTCCCAACCATAGAAACCATGAGATGAGAAACATCTGCTGATTTAAGCCACTATGTTTTGGGGTAACTTGTGCAACAATAGATAGCTAACATATCGCTCTGTACTAAGACTGAAATAATACGAGGTGTTGGCACTATTTTTTAAGGTTTTTTCAATTGTAAGTAGGATTCCACTGGATCTGAGTAGAAACTTTGCTGGATGTCAGCCTTCTCCAGGTCGGTGTTAGGTTAAATCAGTATCGGTCAGTGTCAGTGGGCTGCATCTCAGGGCCAGGCCACTTGTGCCACTTAACTTTTGAGTCTTCTGCTAACCAAACTGGGATGGTATCTACACAGCTGAGCTTTAGGCAGAGTTAATTCATAACTACTCTCCTCACACCTGGAAAGTCTGGCTCTGGATTCTCTCTCTGCTCTGAAGTGTGAGTCTTCCTGCCTCTGACTTCTGCCACTAAGTGGGCGGTGATGACATGACCAAAACCTCCTAAGTTGCACCCTGATCCTCTGGTGTCCACCAGCTCACTTGTTCTTACTGCTCACCTCTTTCGCAGCCCCCAGCACCGGGCTCTCTGATCAAGCCCTATCACGGCAGTTGGGCTCAACAGAGCCCATCATTCCTAGACAGCACTGCTAGGACATTTAAATGAAATGACCATTTTTGGTTTCTCCTGAGCTCTAGCTGACAGTGTTTTTGCATTTCAGATGCTTTTACAATTTAATTTCAGTTGACTGTCTCAAAGGTTCTGTTGGATAATTACAGTTCTCAAAATGAAATGCTCCCAGTTATGGCATTCATCTCTTGCAAGGTCGGTCCTGCTCCACGGCTGGAAGCCTCTCATTTATTCTGTAGCCTGTCCGTTGACTGGAATGGATGAAAACCTTCAAAACAGAAACCTGCTTAAGCATTCGGGAGCCCGAGTTTGGCTAGGTTGGAGATGGCAAACATGGAGCACTTGCTCCCATGGATGTGATCGTTCTGAGAAGTCACGTTCCGTAGAGCCGGGGCAGTCGGGTCTGCAGCCGTTCATGTGATGTCCGTATTGGCTCATGAATCCCTGTGTGCCGTTTAGCTGTTACCCGAGTTGGAGGACTGACTTCTGACTGAATTTCACTCACTCCAATGAGATGGTAAGAACAGAGCCTGCGCCAGGCATAGTACCCAGCATGGCCCGCCAGGGCTAAGTCTTGTTCGTGATACTGGCAAAGCTGGCAGGGGTGCCACAGCTCATGCTGTCTGCTCTGGTAACTGTTGGTTTTGTACATTTCACAAGCAGCCATCTTTTGTGAGGTTACTTTTGTCTGAAACCTTCCTACGGCCAGTGGCCCGGTGGGTACCCGTGAGCGACGCTCGGTGGAACGCGGAGACTGAGGATGTGTGAGAGCAGCATGTGTCGAGCCTGAGGCTGGGGTGCTGACCCGGATCAATCTTCTGTGCAGACCCAGCTGAAAGGTGAGCACCTCCTTATGTGATTTAAGAAGAGACAGATCTATGCTTCTGTAAAGAGTACAAATTATATACACATCACACTTAAATTTGCTGTGGTGTTTTCTGAGTTCATGCTGTTCTGTATATTTTCATATTTTTTAGCTATTAAATCAATATCTAGATTGTAGGTTCAACAGAGGATAGCTGATTTTATAAAAATAAGTTTTTATTGACAAATGGACTCACAGCAGAAAAGGTAGGTTGATGGGTTTACTTAACTGTATTTTTGGGATCATCTGATTAGGCGCAGCACTGTAGGCAACTAAACCAAAGACGGGCTCCCCTGCCCGAGGCCTGGGAGACAGCCAGCTGGTCATCTCCGCCTCCCTGGCCACCATGAGCCTCTTGGAAAACTGCTCTGTCCCCTTCTGCCACCCCTCAGCTCCTCAAGAGAGCCAGAGTCAAGAAGAAAATAAGCCTGAAGTGGAAAGTTCTTGCCTGAAACAGTGCTGGGAATCCAGACTGGGGTCCCGGCCACAGTCCAGACCCTTTCCCTCCAGAGCCGCCGCTTCACTCAAGCCAGAGGACACCAGACACACGGCGAATGGCCTCTCATGCTGCTCCTCAGGCGGCTAGTGAGGGCCTGCAGGATTTCCGGGAGGTGGCGCACGGCCCACTCAGAACTTCTGTAAGAATTTGAGGACGAGGTCCCGCAGTCTCACTCGGAGCATCTCGTCATTGTCGCAGATGATATGGGTCGAGTCTTCTTCAATCTGGATGAGCGTCTCGGCTTCCTGGAGCAGGACGATATGGCCCTTGGCTGTGTCCTCCACCTTAATATCACTGAAGCCGTGCTGCTCCAGAAGAAAAGACAGACGGGGGTGAGCGGACTACAGCTGTGAGACCCTCCACCGAAACCTCCCAGACTCAACTGAACATTCCAGAAACTGACGTGCGTCAACACAATTCTTCAGACTAGTCATAGGGCCTACGCTAGCAATAGTTGACAAGAGACCCTACTTGAGAAGAGACCCTAAACATGCAAAATCTCATGCCAAATAGAGCAGAATTTGTACAACCTGCCTAAACTTTTTGCCAAAGCTTTTTGAGGGCATGTCCAAGCACTGTGTTCAGGAGTCTGGGACCCTAGCTGCTCGTGCCACACCCTTCCCTGGTGACAGAGCTTCCTCCTAAGTCTCGGCTGTGTGCTCCCAGGAAGATGCCAGTGACAGCAAGATACCCTGGACTGTGGGACTTGGCAGAGCCCTCTCGAGTGAAGGAGAAAGTAGCGGAGCGAACATTTCTCGGCTATTGCTCCCGCCAAGGAGAGAATTTCCTTACAGATCAAGTGTGATGTGGACAGGAGGCATGTGCCTGAAATGGACACAAAGCAGTGACGGGCATCCATGTGAGGAGGCCACCTGCACTTAGTGCTCAGGCTCCCCTAGGGACTTGGACAGGGGGTTGCTCCTTCTGCAGAGAGGAGCCAGGGTGGAACATTGTGTCAGGACCTAGGCTGGGCCAGGCTGAAGGTCCTCATTTCTAGTTTAAAAAAGTCCAGCTTGAGGCCCGGCAATGAGGCCCAGGAGCCCTGCAAGGTCGCGGGGGAGAGGGGAGGAGAGCCTTTCCTGCAGGAAAATCAAAGATAGGTGGAGAAAACCAATCCTAGGAAAGGGAAAGCCTCTAAGATTTGAAGGTCAGCAACTGTGATTTTACATTGGATAAAACCTTCATAGAAATCTCCTTCCTTGTAATGATTATAATTTGTTGCAGTTCTTGCAAGAAGCAGCATGAACCGCATTACCTTTAGCCAATTCCTTCTCCTCCCATCAAGGATTCTATAATCCTAATTAAAAAAAAAAAACAGTGATCTTTGAAGTCCTGTGACTGAAGCCAAAATTACAACCTTAAACTAAGGTTATTTTCTTTTCATCAGAGTCAAGAAATCTCATCTCTGGGAGAAGCAGCCATCAAGGCTGCTGAGACAGAGGGGAAGGGCCAGTGCCCCTCAGGTGCCTGCCCCGACCCTGTCTGAATGGCTGGGCCTATTCTCTGAATTCTTGGGCATCCAGGACCATGGCTGCTGCCTCCCAAATCCTGACACTCAAGTGAAGCCTGGCTCCCCTCTGACAGCAAGGAGTCAGCTGTGGAAGCTCGAGGCTCTGGCAGGGATGGGCCCTTCTTTGTCCTACCCTCCCCGGCTCGTCACATCTGCGTGTGGAAGCAGCTTCTTCCTGAGTCGAGAGAGGCCTTCTGCTGCAGGTCCAAGCAGCAACATCCCCTTGCTGCCGCCAGGAACCGTAGTGAGCCCGCGAAAGGCTGATGCGTGTGGTGTGTCCATGGCGCCCGAGAAACCTGCTCACCTTCTCCAGGGTCTGCACGAACTGCTCCACGGGGATGGAGCCGCTCAACAAAGGCTTCAGGACTTTGCAGTCCGGGACATCATCGCTCACCCGCTTTCTCTTCTTCCCGCTTGTGGGCTGGGTGGGCCGAGGAGGGGGCTGGAGCAGAAGGAAAGAGTGGCTCTCATGAGCTTCCTCTAAGCAACAGGAGCCACCGCAAGCCACACAGGGAGCCTGACTATCCCACCCTCACAGGCCCCGGCCCGGCTTCCTCAGCCGGCACTCGGTTCAGGTTCCCTGGCTGCTGGGGGCCCCAGATCCACGTGCTCAACTGTCCACCCAACCAACACCTTTATTCACTGAGCTCTCTGCCTTCTATCAAGATCCATTTTTAAACCTTCAGGTGATTTCACTGCAGTATCTGCTGAATAAATTTTCCACATTATACCGTCGTGTTGCAGTACTGTCATGACGCCGTGGCTGGGCATACTGGCTGTGGGGTCAGACCAAAGGGGGAAACCCCAGCTTTGTCACCCTACGAAATGGTGACAGCAGCACATTATTTGAGGGATCAGTAAGACAAGGACCCAGCACAGGGTCTAACAGGCTTTAAGTGGTAGCTAAGAGCAATTCTATCTACGGCACAAAGGTGACACAGTCCAGCATGACACTATTCCTGAAAGGAATTAAGACACAGCACCTGCCCTGGAGCCAAAGTGCCACCACCTGTGTGCAGGTCAGTGGCAGGGCCAGGCACAGCCTCACACAGGTGTGCTGTTTCCAGACCCCAAAGGCAGCGCTGCACCTGCCAGCTGCACGTCTCCCCACAGCCAGCCTTGCACGGCAGCGCTCCCCTATAGAACGTGCCTGGGGCAGCCCTTGGGAGACAGCAGCCTCTCTGAGGCACGTGGCCAGAGAAACACTTCTTACAAAGCGCTCTTTGTTTCAAATATACTGTTAGCGGGCAGGGTCTCTGGCTGGGGAGAGGGTCCCCTGCACGCCTGCCCCGCACCCCCTACCTGAAGCAAGTGCTTGTTATCTTTGGTGTGCAGCACGGCCGAGACAGTTGCCAGGGAGATGCCAGGCTTGATCTCCATGGGCACCAGTGAATCCGCAAGCTGAAAGCAAAGGGCACAGTTCAGGCTGGGGACCTTTAATGATGACCGTTACTGACTTTTCCTTTAATCTATTTACATCACTGCAGTCTAAAGAGAAAATAAAGGTAAACAACTTTTAAAAAGAATTTAAGTAAAATAATCTATCACACACATATCCACCTCTATCAATCGCAATCCCGACAGGAAGGAAGAGAAAGGGGCATGAACCCGACTCAGCCCAACGGTCCAGATGACGTAGCAGCTGTGGCTTCTGCGCTCTGCAGCAGAGGTCATGGGGCAGCCACATTACCGCCTGCTGGACCCCAGCCTGCTGACCCCTCTGCGTGTCCCTCTGGTTGGTTACCCCACCAATAACAGAATGCTAGCACCTGGCCCAGGCACCCGTCTTCAACTGCACGGCCTCACCCACCTCTCCAGTGGCTTCCACACGACTCTGAAGACCCTTTTACAGTGTCGCAGGAACCTACCAGAGCTGCCTTTCATTCATTCTGGCCTTTTGCTCACCTTCCTCCCCTCTCCAGGTGACCAGTGGCAGAAAGGACAGGGATAGCTGCATGGGGGTTGAGGGAACGCTCCCCTTCCTGAAAGTCTGACTTTTCCCAATGGTGGAAGCCACGACTTGACCTGGGGAAGTGGTGTCTTTCTGGCCACCTGTACTTGATGGGTGCCCTGCTGTGCAGCCGGACCTTATTAGGTACTTGCTGCTGAGTTTAGCTGCATGGTTTTTAACAGACACGCAGCCCTTTACCTAGCCAAGCCACCTTTATTTAAAAACAAAAACATGCAAGAGGCCATTATGTAAAATGAAGGTCAATACCAAAGAGGCAGAGGAAGCAGCTTAGGACAGGGAAGCAGATGGGCAAATGGTACGTGAGGCCTGGTTCATGAAAGAAGAAAACTGCCTGTGGGTCAGCGTGAAGCGGCCCTGGCCAAAGAGCAGGGTGTGCGCCAGTCTCCTGGCAATGCCAGATGCCCGTTCTTCATTTCAGGCCTTCCTCTCTGCACTGCAATTACACCCTTCACAGGTTAGCTGGGGTCAGAGCTTTCGGGCTGGCATTATGGGAACCAAGTGGGTACAACACACTCCCCTGGCAGCCATGCATTATTTCCAAGAAGACTCTGAAGGCGTCTATTTTTTTGAGACGGGGTGTCACTCTGTTGCCCAGGTTGGAGTGCGGTGGTGTGATCATAGCTCAGTGCAACCTCAACCTCCACCTCCTGGGAAAGTGATCTTCCTTCCTCAGCCTCCCCAGTAGCTGGGACTAGAGGTACAGACCACCACACCTGGCTAATTTACCTTTTTTTTTTTTTTGTAGCCATGGGAGTCTTGCTGTGTTGTCCAGGCTGGTCTCGAACTCCTGGCATCAGGTCATGCCAATGTTGGGAGCCTTGGCCTCCCAAGGGCTGGGATTACAGGCCTGAGCCACTGTGCCCGGCCATAATGTCCACTTTAAAGGCAAAGAAATCACTGCAGCAAGTTGGATTGAGAACATTATCTCCATAAATGATGAAAGACATACAGTTGGGCTGGATGCAGTGGCTCATACCTGTAATCCCAGCACTTTGGGAGGCTGGGGTGGGTTCATCAGAGTTCGAGACCAGCCTGGCCAACATGGTGAAACCCCATCTCTAGTAAAAATACAAAAAAAATAGCCAGTTATGGTGGCACATGCCTGTAGTCCCAGCTACTTAGAGGCCAAGGCAGGAGAACTGCATGAACCTGGGAGGCAGAGGCTGCAGTGAGCCAAGATTGCACCACTACACTCCAGCATGGGCAACACAGCAAGACTCTGTCTCGGAAAAAAAAAAAAAAAAAATTGAAAATGAGATATCAGTGTATACTTACATAACTGGAAAAGACTTGAATAAAATTTGGAAAAGAACAAAAAAGGACAACATCCAGTATTAGCAAGGAGGCAGCAACAAGAACTGGCTCCAGCTCTCTGGCGGGAGTGTGAACGGCCGCACTCCTTCTAGAGGACAGGCCGATGATATATACAGCCTAGCGCCATAAAGGGACGCTGAGAGTCTTTGACCCAGAAATTCTAATTTCAGAAAATTTTCCTGTGGAAATAAACATATGTGAACAAAGATTTATGTAAAACGATGTTCCTGAAAGTGTTATTTATAACACAGAAAAACCAGAAATGAAAATCTATGAATAAAGGAGCTGTTAAATAAATTCTGACAGACCATTATGCAACCATTAAAGCTGAAGCTTTTGAAATATCTTTTTGTTTCTGAGACAGAGTCTTGCTCTGTTGCCCAGGCTGGAGTGCGGTGGTGCGATTTTTGGCTCGCTGCAACCTCACCCCCAAGTAGCTGGGATTACAGGCAGCCGCCACCATGCCCAGCTAATTTTCATATTTTTAGTAGAGACGGGGTTTTGCCATCTTGGCGAGGCTTGTCTTGAACTCCTGACCTCAAGATCTGCCCACCTTGGCCTCCCAAATGCTGGGATTACAGGTGTGAGCCACCGTGCCCGGCTGAAATACCTTTAATGATAGACTTACTGCCAGGTGAAAAAGATAGTGTATGAGGTGTGATTCCAGTATGTGCACACACAGTGAACAGACAAAGCAAATACATCAAAATGTTAACAGTTATCCCTGGTTTTGGGACTGATTTTTGCTTTTGTCTTTATCCCTTAGTTATGTTAACATGTAATAGGTTTGTATTATTATTCTTAAATGAGTATTTTTAAAATGTCTTAGTTTTAATTTCTCCTATAGCAAATATTAATAGACATTACCCACATAAACAAAACCTCTTTGGAGTTCTATTTGCAAGGATGCCCGAGACCAACAGGTTTAAGGAATGCTGTCTTAGAGAGTTGAAATCTAAACAGAGGCTGCCAATCCCAGCCCCTGTAAAATACCAGACAAAAACAATCCAGAGACATCCAGAGAAAATGCCAAACGAAACCAGAGAAACTGAAAAACAAAATCTTAACAAATTAACACAAACATATTAACCATAAAGATGGCACCTGGTGGTCTCTAGCAGCCTCTCCAGGCCCGTGGGAATGAGTCACATTCAGGAGCTGAGACCTCCAACCCAAGGTCTAGAGGCCATTTCTGAACCTCAAACTGCAAAATAATTTTGGGCACACTGGTTTTAACATTAACTTTTTAAATTTCTTTGTCCTGTCTGTTGAAAACATGTTCAAGTTGCCTCAAGAGGTGACACGGACAGCATGCTTCTGCACGTTCCCTGCCAAAACTGAAGCTCAGAGTTCACAGAACTACAACGTGCTTCGACTCTGATAGGCCAAAACCTGCAGGTATGTTAACAAGGATGTAAATAAGAACCAAGTTTACAATCCTTATTTTTGGGTTCCTATTATCTCCCCCATCTACCTCGAATTCAGTGAACTCTGACCCTTGCTCATAATTGAGGTCCGGGGGAAGAGAGAAGCCACCCCTGACGGGATTTAGGGACAGAGCAGGTGTCAGCATCTCCATTCCTCAGGGATCTGGCCCATGATGTGGCCCAGGGGTCACATGGCTGAACGTCAGGTAAAGAGCAGTCCTGACTTTAACAGCTGCTATTTTATTATTTGAAAAATGAGAAGAACCTGAAAATCCCCCTGCTTCCCAGTTACTTGCTTAAGGGTCCATGTTCCTTGGTTCATTCATACTTGATGGAGACTCACTGTCAGCCAGGCTGGAGTGCAGTGGCGTGACCTTGACTCACTACAACCTCCACCTCCCGGTCCAAGTGATTCTCATGCTTCAGCCTTCCGGGTAGCTGGGATTACAGGCACCCGGCCACCATGCCTTGCTACTTTTTTTTTTTTTTTTTTTTGTATTTTTAGTAGAGATGGGGTTTCGCTATGTTGGCCAGGCTTGTCTTAAACTCCTGACCACAAGTGAATTGCCCACTTTAGCCTCCCAAAGTGCTGGAATGGGCAACAGGCATGAGCCACTGTGCCCAGCCTGGTTCATTGATATTTGACACAAATCCAAAAGAAGGCCACCATGCACCCTCTCCAAGAGCCTCCGTGGAAAGCTCTCATTTAACCCCAGGAAGGAGAACAGCTTACCTCTGGCATGATCTCGATCTTCTCGTACCGACGTTTGAAGGGCAGGGCGAGGACCTCAGCCCGCCGATAGGACATGGCCGGGGGCTGGCAGTCGATCATGAGGTCCATCCTGTGCGACTGGGCTGGAGGCGGCTGGGTATACTGCTCAGGACACACGACATGCAGCGGCTGAGGAACCAATGGGACAGGCGAGGAAGGAGGTGTGAAATACAGTGGCCCCCACGGAAGGCCCGATCTTGACCCGGATCCACTCCCCTCATCACAGGCTCACCACCTCCAGGC